TTGCAGCATTCTCATGATAACTGAATTCTTTCATTGACACATGTCTAGAATCTTAACTCAATCTCAAGACTACATGCTGTTTATACAACACCAGATACTATACATGACTTACATCTGTGAACATACATCCTAGACTACTAGTGTCTGACTGTACACTAGACTGATAATCCCATTGACTTATACATTTTTGTGATGCTTTATTTGATTCATTGCTGATTTTTCTTCTGCCAATTATGTTCATCCCTAATCACGCTTTTTCATTATGCAAATTATGTGACCCTCTAACTTTATTAGTTAGGAACGATGTCGGATAAAAAACTTATTTGCTTTAGTTTGGGGGTGATGGTTTGACCTCTAAAAGTTTCCATCCTACAAAACCGATTTTATTTTTTAATGAAGTCAAAAAAACCTTGGAGTATTTGTAGTTCGTTTTTTTCTATCCAATCATAGACAAAAATAACAGCAAATGAAAAAAACATCCAAGACGAGAAAATGGCTTGGTCCGAGTGTAAATATGTGCGTCAAATGAGGTCAATTTCAGGGCATGGACCGAGAGCATGCGCAGATCCCAGAAAGTAGTTTCACTATTACTACCAACTGCTATGCCATACTACTGTGCGATTATCAATTTGTATTTAATGGTGACTGTATTCTGACGCCAGCGCCATGATCAATATTTATCAATTAAGTTTCAGTGGGGGGTTTGGGAAAAAAACTAAAAGAATTAAGTTTTTTATCTGACATCGATCTTTTGACGTTGTCCCTTATGAAACAAACATGTTATGTTAAAAATAATAATGTGCATTATACTGACACTAAAGTGCCCACGGATGACTAAGTGCAACCATGCATGTGTAAGTTAGTAATATAATCTAATATGTCAAGGCATCACAGCACATGTTTGAATTTTGTGTGAACATACAATGTGCATTTGAATATTACACATGTTTTATAACCCATACTGCTATATTTCATTTCATTCTAGGTTTGACAATCCTGCAGCCTCTGCACCATTCCCAGTAAAACAATTAACATTACTGTATCTATTACCTGTGAATATATGGCTTCTACTATGCCCGTCTCAACTTTGCTGTGATTGGACGATGGGAACTGTACCACTCATTGAATCTGTTTTGGAGCCCAGGAATTTATCCACTATAGCGTTTGTTATTGTCTTGGTGAAGTTGGTTCATTTTGCGATCGTTGATGAGAGTCTTCGATCTAAACAAGTTATTATGGTAAGTTACTTTTTCAAATCATATTTGCCATTATTAGTGACTAGTAGGTGTGGTCAGATAAATGTGGCCATGGCCGGAGAAAAAATATGTGTAGTCAAAAAAAAAAAAAATATGGGTGAGCTCAAACAAAAGTTTGTATGGCCAAAGAGAACTGAGAAGTGGGTGTTTAAAAAAAAAATTAGTATGGCCACACAAAATGCAAGTATTGTATGGCCAGAAAAAAGTTGTTGGCATTTAAAAAATTATATAACACATCAAAATAAACGTTTATTTACAATAGAAAATAATTTTAAATTAAAAGTGGTTCATGATGCTATGTGTTTTTATATTGCAGTGTCTGTCTTTCCTGGTACTTCCATTCATTCCAGCGTCTAATTTATTCTTCCCGGTGGGATTTGTGGTGGCGGAGAGAATTCTATACACACCCAGTATGGGATTCTGTATGATGGTGGCGCTGGGATTTCAACTTCTCATTAAACAAAAGTAAATATTGTTTATGTCACTAGAGGGCGATGTTACCATTATGTATGATAATAATGCCAGGATTTCAATATAATGTCAGAATGATGACCAAATAATGATATAATGTCAAAATAAAGACGCCAAACTAATTTTGGAGGTGTTGACAATGAAATGTTAAATTTATTATATTTCAGAAATACCAAAACTGTCATGTACGTTGGACTGGCATTGCTTCTTCTCAGTCACTCTATTAAGACAGTCAGGAGGAATTATGAATGGTGGGTATCCGTGGGTTTTTTGTTGAAAGAGGGGTGTATAATATATTTTATTTGCTCTTTATCTGATAAAGTTTGCCCAGGTGCATTTCATGTAAGCTGACAGTTTTTGATTGGCATTCGTGCGTCCATCCGTCTGTATCTAGCTAACAAGCATACATGCATGTACTAATCAAGTACACACGCATCAGACATATACACTGGCATATGTTTCATGATCTGATTCAAGATGGCCGAATGGCAACCATAGGTCCGCTGAGCCTATGGGATGGGTTTCTGTCCTGCGTCTGTCATCCGTCTATCTATCTGTCTGTCTGTCTGTCTGTCTGTGCACGACTTCTTCTCAACAACCGCCGAACCGTTTGACTCGATTGTTGGTGTGTGGATGCCTTGAGGAGTGTAGATGGTAATTTGTTCATGAGAAGTCGATCTGCCAAAAATTATGCAAATTTGCCTCCCAAAACTCTAAAATTTCTTCTATGATACTATGCTATGACACTAAGTGGTCTATAATGCTGATATTGATAGTGCATGTGCCTTGGGTTGTCCTCTATCAGTTTTGTTAATTTGGTAAGGAAATTTACAATTTCCTAATTTTGGCGAATATTTTAAAATGGTCATTTTTGGTCAAAAATTCTATTTTTGACTTCTTCTTCAAAACCGGTTGCCTGAATGCTTTGATACTTAGTGTGTATGTACCTTGTGTTGACATCTACTAGATTTGTTCATCCCATGGCCATATCCTTAATTCTCTAATTTTGGCAAATATTTTTGTCATTTTTGGTTAAAAATGGAATTTCAACTAACCACTATTTCCAATACTTTGGTGTTAGGCATACATGTGTTTATTATTTCATTGTAATGAAAACATATTTAAATGTGTATAGACATAATTGATTTTGGTGGAAAATTATGCAAATTGCCTAATTTACATACTAATATTTAGGCTATTTTGGTGATATCTTGAGAACCATTTAATATGTTTTAATAAAACTTGGTGCATATATGTGTTGGGGCAGTTTCCAGATATATTTAGTTTTTGGTGGAAATTTATGCAAATTATCTAATTTGCATATCAGCTAGTGAAATTCAAGCTATTTGGGTGCTATTTCAAGAATGATTCAACATATTTCAACAAAACTTGGTATATACATGTATTACGAATTCAGATAATTGCAAATATCATGTTATGTTATTCTCTCAATATGCTGGAGTTCTTTTTAAGCTCTCTTTGATTCTAATTTTATTGAATATTTCTGTTATTTTTGTAAAAAATTCCAATTTTAGCATTATGTTTTATTGTCTCACTCACTACCTTTTGGGGTATTTGTCATATACAGCACTAATCTTTTGTACAATAGCCATTGAGCAACAGGCCATGGCCTATTTTTTTTTAATGAGTTCAATGTAAAATACAGGAAAAAAAAGTATATTAACTGAATTTTATTTTCAGTGAATCATCCCTTCAGTGAAAATACTTTTCCAAGGGAAAATAAAGTATTTTACAGTACCTGTCAGTTTGCTGGGGGGGGGGGGGGGGCTCATTCAAAGTCCTAAACATGTTCAATACATTATAAATTACTCTATATATTCTTTGCTTATCAATCTGTACCTAGGGAGTCAGAGTACACTATATTTAAAGCTGCTACTGGTGTTGTCAAGACGAACGCTAAACTGTGGAATAACGTTGGCCATGCATTAGAGAAGGAAAGTAAATGGGACGAGGCGTTGGAGTATTTCCTACACGCTACACAGTAAGTTTGTTTAGCAGTCTGAATATCAGAAAAGTTAGAGGGTCATTATGCAAATTAGTGAAACCTTTCTGAGTAAAAGATTGAGGTATTGGAATATTTCTTGCATGGTACACTGTAAGTTTGTTTAGCAGTCTGAATTTCAGCAAAGTTAGAGGCTTATTATGCAAATTAGTGAAACCTTTCTGAGTAAAAGATTGATGTATTGGAATAGGTGCTTGTTGCTGAAATTGTATAATTTCTGGGGCAACGAAGACTTTTTTTGTGAAAATTGTATCATTTCTGTAATCATTTATCCAAATGTACTAACTTCTTTAGTTTTCCAAAATCTGATCCATGTCAAGAAATTTTTTCTGCAAGAACCCCTTCAGTGATCAGAATAAAAATCTAAAGTAGGTTCACTCTCAATTGTTTGCAGAGTGCAGCCCGATGACATCGGTGCATGGTTGAATGTTGGAAGAGCTTATAGAAATTTAAATCAATCAAGACAAGCGGAGGCTGCCTATACTGAGGGGATGAATCTAATGCCTGCAGTCAAAGCAGGCAAGAAGTATACAACACGAATCGCTCCCAATCATTTAAATGTTTATCTGAATTTAGCAAACCTCATTAAAGACGAGCCAGGACGGTTGATTGAAGCTGATAATGTAAGTTTTATATAAATTTAAGGATTATCCACCTGTCTGACTGATGGAATCTGATCAAAAACTGATGTGATGTAAATAGAATGTTTGCTGTTTAGTGAACAACCATCATTGTACTACAATCCCTCAACACCAGGGACTGTGATTGTACATTTCTAAAAATATACACCCCTCATACAATTGGAACGATTTTCAACTTCTTAATGATGGAATATGGATGCCATAGTTTCCTTGTATTTGATCTTTCAGTTTTGATGATTACTACTTCATTCATTCATTCATTCATTCATTCATTCATATTCATTCATTCACTCATTCATTCACTTTTCATTTATAATTGTAGACTTTCATGCACTCTTTTGTTTATTTCTTAGTGTTTTTCTGAATCAATAAATTCAAATAATATCATATGAGTGTATAAATGACAAAAGGTTGGTTGCATGAAAACCTGTATACCATGAAACAAACAAGACTTATCATAAACAAACTTTTGTCTCAATAGTCAATAGAAATCACAACAAAACCAATCTTCTGTTTGTTTCACAGTATACCCAGCTTTCAGGGTAACTTGGATTTTGCAATTTTTACACTCACATAATATCTTAATGACAAAACCAAAAAACAAACAAGAGACTGCGTGCATAATACATTATTTTATTGAGAAAAAAAACACACCAACAAACAAGCAAAAAACTTATCATAAACAATCATTGGTCTCAATAGTTTAAAAAAAAAATCACAACAAAACACAAATCTCCTGTTTGTTTAACAGTATACAGTCAGTCACTGTCATTTATACAATCACGTAATATATTATTTTATTGAAAGAAAAAACACCGACAAACAAGCAAGACTGTATGCATTTTGGATTCAGAATGTGTTTACTTATAGAGTGTATTAATGCACAGCATGGGAATCTACTTGTTTATTTCAGTTGTACAAAAAAGCAATCACAATGAGACCAGATTTTGTCCAGGCTTATATAAACAGGGGTGATGTGTTATTGAAGTTGAACCGTTCTGATGATGCAGTTGACAATTACATGACGGCTCTTAAATATGAAAAAGATAATGCTGATATCTATTATAATGTGAGTATTATATATTTTTTTCATTTCCCAACAAGAAAATAAATATGACTGATTCTTGCTCAATGTTTTTTTTCTGAATATTATAAATTCATATTGCAAAAAAAATTGTTCATTACTTTGATAAATTGAGTTTTCTGAATGATAGGAATTCCCTAAAAGTTGCTGTGACTCCATTTCAGGGAACTGCTTCACGGCTATATAATTTCACATTTTTGTCGATAACTTACCAACTAACCATGCTAAAACCTGACACTTGGTGTAGAGGGCGCTGTAACAAAGACATTTTTTATACTAAAAACTATCATTATAACCATTGAATATGTACAATTAGAATGTTTTTTTGTGATGATAAGGTACTAGAAACGATTGTCAGCCATGTTCCTTACTTGCTGTCATATTGTGCTTAAATGAACTTTGTATAGAATCTATTTATGCACAGTATTGGATTATAACAACAAAAGAACAAAGGCAGAACAGGATTTCTACAGAATCTTAATAAGTCTTATTTTTATTTTTACATTTTCAAAGCCTTGAAAAAGTGAGAAATTTTTTTTTTTGCAGAGGAATTGTCTGCAATAGTGACATGTCCCACAATTCAGCAAAGATTGGACTTTTCTGAGTGTATCATATTTTTCAAAAATATTTATTTGAGGTAAAATTCTTTGTTCTATTCTAGCTCGGTGTAGTGTACA